AAAATAAAAGTGCTAATATATAAACTGTTGTCTATTTTCTATTAGCATTTGTTATATTTGTATATTAGATTCATATATTTTCTATTTAATATTTTTTTGTTGCTTGTTTAATATTTAGTAACCATTCAAGTTTTGTAACTCCTAGTTGCTCCCTTAATTACTTATTACTTAAATCTTTAATAGCATTCACTGTTAATTTCTCCCTTGCAAACACTACTTCCAATTTTAAATAATCGTTATTACCATTATCATAAGTAGTATTTAATTTTTTAAAAAATTTATTAAGAGATGGAGTTGGAGTTAAATCAGAGATTGAAGTGAATGTTGATTGTGAAATATGTGGTTGTGATTGTAAATTAACTTTAATAGAATAAGCTATTCTGAATATTAGATAAGAAGGTAGTACTTCTAATATAATAAGTTCAGCCTTCTGTAATATATATTGATATTTATTAATATATATATATATATGTAAATCACTAAATCAAATTGATCACACCTTATATATTTAAGTACTTGTACTGATTACATCTTGTGCCTATAGGTGTAAATGTGTAGGCGTCAATTGAAAATGTTTATTGTCTTCGATGTAACAAGACATAGAATGGATATTGCAACAATATTTGGATCAAAGCTCATAAATAATTGTAGCTAAATTAACTTCATTAGAGGTAAGATTTGATTCCTTGGGAACACGACTAGTTTTCAATTTTTAGATTTTGGTTCTAATTTTTCTTCATTTAAGTCAATACCTTCTTCAATTAATTTCTATAAATATATTAAAAAAATCATTATTAATATCAAATATATAATTTATTAAGTGTTTTGACCCGTTGTAAAACAATGGGTAGAATAATACAAATAAGTCATGTGATATAATACAAAATTGAACATAAATTATAATATATACCTGAATATTTCGTTTATTAGAGTTTAATGTGATATATAATACTATATTTTTTTTTAAACATGTTAGATTTTTGTATTCAATAATAAATGCATCATAATCACATTCATCATCTAATGTCATTGCCTGACTACGTCCATTTATTTTATAAAAAATTTCAATATCATCTTTATCAATTTTATCATGATTAAGGCATTTATGAATATGTTTAACAAGATTATAAAGAAATGTATCAAATTTGTCTAAATCAAATATAAACTATTTAGCAGACATCAAGATTGACTTTTTAGTATTAATAATAATCTTTGCTTTTAATATTGAATTTTTTGAGCTTTTATTATTTGGCAATATATAGTCATCTGAAAAATTAAAATCATCTTCTGTAGAGTCTGGTAGGGAATCTGAATTTTCTTCAATAGTAATATAATCAGCATCAGTTGGAGAAGAGTTGGTAGCTTTTAAGTCTTTCTTGAAATATTTATAACGGCTATAACAATTATTACAAAAGCTAAGTTTAAAATTTTCATTAAAATTACAATTATAACCCAAAAGACGATTATATCTTTTAA